CAAACTCTATTCTTTGTTCCATGCCTCCCCCAAAAATCAGAGGCAGTTAGCGCAGTGTGCGCAAGCAGTCGGACAGCGTCTCCTGGTTGATAGGGCGTGTTTTGTCCATCCGCTGGGTGGCTTCAAGTGAAAGGAGCGTCAGAGCAGTCTGGGAAAACTACCGAGTGCTTCATGATCACTTCACAAATGCTGCAAACGACACGAGCAGGGATTCCAGAGACAGAGCAAAGTACAAGGGCCTGGATGATGTGCTCACATCTGCAACGTTTGTCAGCAATCTGGGACTGATGTACGATGCGCTCACAGAGCTCAGCGACCTCTCTCGGCAACTCCAAAAAAGAGAGATGACACTGCCTACAGCAGATAGGCTCTTAACTCGAGAAATACGAGTTTTTGAATCCATGGTCACCATGCCTGGCCCACACATGACTACAGTTCATACAGCTCTAGCTGAGAAGTCCTTCAAGGGTGTTGCCCTGCGTGAGAATGGCAGGCTTGTACAGATTCATGCAGGTCAGTTTTTCCGCAGTATGGTAGAGAATCTGAGACACAGAATGACTTCCACAACCTCCTCTCATGTCAGCACAAGAGAAATCCCATTACATGGCCGGGAGGCCCGGGACAATCAGCTAATCCAGGACATGAAAGTTATCCATCCTGGAAGTTGGCCTGAAGAGGAGTTAGACGTACAGTATGGGGACGTAGAGGTGCTACGTTTGTGCGAAGTGCTGAAAGTGGACAGAAGAGAGACTGTTCAGGGCTTTCGCGAATACAAGGAAACCAGGGCATCCCGTACACCTGCTGCCATGGAGCCTCTACTGAAAGCAGTCCGAACCATCGCTGTCTCCACTAGTGAGTGTGAGCGGGCATTCAGCTGCATGAACGATATCCTTACTGCAAAAAGGAATGCTCTCTCTGTCAGCCGACTGTCCAGCCTGGTTTTCATTAAATGTAATGGACCATCACTAGGACAGTTCAATCCGGAACAGTATGTGAGGTCCTGGCTGGCAAAGGGAAGGAGAAGTGCTGATGAAAGAGCCTGTCCAGCTCCAGCCCCTGATACTGATGTCCCCATGGCCTTCTGGAGCCTTTTCTAACAATGTGAAGTATATTGCAAAGCAGCTCACCCAGTGAGAAGACTTTTGGCATAATGTGCCGATTTGTACAGATCCTGGAGATAGAAGGACTTCAGACCAACCAGGGAGTTATCTGATCAGCTTGGTGTTCAATGTAACTCTTTACCATGGCTCAGACTTTGTTACTTGCAGTTACAGTTTCTCATTTTAGATTGTGCAAATTTTGCATTTGTTTTTACATGTTCTTTGTTCATGCTCTTTATCATTTTTCTGAGTTGGAAAGTTAGATTGCATCATAGTTTACTTTATACATATTTGTATTCTTCAGTGGTGAAGTATATTGCAAAGCAGCTCAGCTATGTGAGAAGACTTTTGGCACTTTTTCGTTTTTCGTTTTCTGAGTTGGAAAGTTAGATTGCATTCAAAATGTACAGAAATACTTAATTTTGTTAAAGCTTTTTATAAAAAATGCTTCTGACCAGAGCTTTGTTTCCTTGTCATTAATGTTGAACACCACCAGAGGGGCTCTCACCTGAAAGGTCTCTGCTTCATGTGTCTTCAGCAGAAGATCTAGACTTTGATTGCTATATTTTCAGTTAATATTGACCTTACTAAGCTTTAGCCATATCCGCTGCCTATCATAACAAATTTTAAGTACAGTGAACCTTTCTAAAATATACAGTAGTAAAGAGACAAACCCACCAGCATTATAGTAGCCAAATTCTTGTTTGTGGGCTGTATATATAAAATTGACTTGAAAAAGTTGCTGATTTTAGAGTACTGGCACCTTTTTCATTCCAATTCAAGCACTGGCCGTAACTCCAAATAAACCATCAGTGTTTTCCATCAAAGCTCCAGCTCTCCTCGGATCTCTCTGAGTCCTGTTATCCAGCTCCATATTAGACGATGACTCCCACCCTCTGCACTCAGAATTCAAGCTTCTTCCTTCGGGCCGGAGGTTACTTGTCCCAAGGAGTAGAACGAAGCGGTATAAAAACAGTTTTATCCCAGCAGCTATTGCACACATTAACACATCATAGGAGCGTCACACAGATGCCTATTTTTATTTATTTATTTAATTGTGAATTTTGAAGGTCCATGTTTGTACTAGTGTTTTCCTTCTTAAAATGTTTTTTTAAATATTTTGAGATTTGGTTGAGCAGGGTATACTTGTACTTTTACTAGTCCTTTATTAGAGATGTGTCTGTTGTTTGTGTTTATTTTTAGTGTCAGGATGGAACCCTTGTCTTTTTCTCTGCAAACAGAATATACCTAGGCTACGGGTACAAATAAATAACCTGACCTGTTTCCAATTGCTTCAGAAGATACAGAGATCACATTGTTTTCTCACAACTTTTCCTGATTTCTGAGGTTTACCATTTTGTAATATAGGCACGGAGCATTTCAAGGCTGCAATTATGAACCAGACCAATCCAGTCTCACATCTAAACGTGTAATAACTGCGTTGGTCCACAACTTGGGATGTAGTATTTCTACAAAAACGCCTCTGAAATTGTAGGATCCCTATGTTTTTTTTCACCATTCATTTCCAATGGCTGGTGTCTATGTCACGTGATCTTCAAATTTCTCTCCGCATAAAAAAAAAAACATGGCCGACCTTCGTTTTATTCTCGGTGTAAAAGGCCTATTTTAAAGTTAGTTTGGCCATTAAAATGCCTTTTGATGTCATTTGATGCGAGAAATATGAGTTGTTATTTCAGATTATGTGTGCAGTGGATGCATATGATCTTTAGTTTGCTAGTTATTACAAAGAGTACTTCAGGAAATTGTGTACATACAACGTGTTCATTGTTACCAAGGTGGTTGCTAGGGACGCTGCTATCGCTATTATTTCTGTTATGTTGTGTAACTGTTTAATGGTGTTATCTTTATTGCTACCCCCTTCCCCGTCAATGTATAGTGTTGGTCCACAGCGCAAACTTATTAGTTTAACTAAATCCGCATCTATAATTGTGGCAGAGATACGTTATTTTCCCCTGTGCAATTCTCCAACCCAGTCTCACATCTCACATCTCACATCACAAGCAATACCGGAAACAGATGTACAATGTAAAATATTACCATGATTTCACAATATTTAGCTGTAATATTTTACAATAAATTACTGTTTTACCACTTTACAGTCTTTACTTGTGATGTTCACAATATAATACTGTAATTTTGAATTTCACAGTAAAATCAATGCAGGCACAGTTAATTACTGTGAATGTACAGGATACATGATTACCAGGATTTTCCAACATGTTACAGTATTATTTCACAGTACAATACTGTATTCAGACCATCCTCTGTGATAACACAACACATTAAGTGATTGTCTTGCTTTTATCGCTCTTGCTTGGCTTTAAATACAAATTTATTTATTTGGTACAGGTTTTACTTAAATTGAAAGGGGCACCGCTGCATGTGCCTTAAAATAAACTATGCAACATATAAATCTATGTAAAATTGAAATTGTTGTCTTCATGGCTTATTGTTTTCAGGTGCTTCCTGGGCATTAATCTTGAGACGGGCTCGAAAGCCAAAAAGATATGGCAATTTAAACCCCCATGTCAGCACATTCTTCAGAAAATTGTTGACTTCGAGTGGATGTCTGTGTAGACATGTGCTCCCCTCCTTGTTTTCTTTTCTGTCTCCCTGCTGCGCAGGTGCACCTGGTCTGCCCCTGGCTCCGCCTCTGCCCAGGTGTTCCAAAATCCACTCAGCCGTGTATATATAAAGAGAAGCTGGAGGAAAAGGATGTCTCGCCTATCCTAATGCCGGGAGACACTCTCCTTAGAATACCTCTTTGCCATTTTGAGCTGTAGGCCATATTTTTGCAGATGTGTTTATGTTTAGCCTGGAGGACCTGGTAGTCCAGTTTTCGCGGCTTTATTTTGTTTCCCATAGGGTTTATAATTGATTTCTGGTTGGGGGGGGAGCTCTGGGTCCTACGGCCCGTGGTGTGGCTGGCTCGGGTTCCCTCCTTCTGTTTGTTCCTTTTGGCCAGTCCTCCAGACCTCTTTTTGTTTTCCGTTTCGCTTGTGTGAGCAAACGGCTGATTATCAATAAATGCTCGTTACCAAGTACGGGTTATTGCATGTATTCTTTCATGTTGCGGGTCTCAGCACGAGCCACTACCGCGGAGTAGAGGTTGGGGCCGTAACTTGTCCAAGACACTGTGAAATGTACTTTGCACTTCAATGGAGTAATACAAAGTTAAAATGGGTATTTTCTTTGTTTTTCTTTGTTGATTGAGCTGATTGAATTGTGTAGTTATGGTAAAATCCCAGTTAAGTCAATACCACAGCTCTGTACTGCTATATCACAGTAATTCCATGGGCATGGCAACTGTAATGTCACAGTATTTAGTTGTACTTTTATTCTAATTTACTGTAAAATATCTACAGTAAATTACTGTGAAATATTTACAGTCAATTACTGTGAAATCCATGCAACTAATAGTAAGTAATTTACTGTTATTTTACAGCCAAACATTTTACAGTGTAGGCAAGATCCTCAGCTCGGTGATTGGATGGTTTAGCCGCAATGCACGTTGGGAGATGGTGTTTACTCTTCGTAATGACTAGCAAACTAAAGATCATGTGCATCCACTGCACACATAATCTGAAATAAAAACTCACATTTTAATGGCCAAACTAACCTTAAAATAGGCATTTTCCACCGAGATTAAACGAAGGTCGGCCATTTGTTTTTATGAGGAGAGAAATTTGAAGATCACGTAACATAGACGCCAGCCATTGGAAATGAATGGTGAAAAAAAACATAGGGATCCTACAATTTCAGAGGCGTTTTTGTAGAAATACTACGTCCCAAGTTGTGGACCAACGTAGTTATTACACGTTTAGATGTGAGACTGGGTTGACCAGACATGTGACTCTATTAAATATATATTTTGTACAGATTTGCTCTCTGAAGAGGACCTGAATAAGCTGTCAGAAATAACTGGATGTGCAAGACAAATCACTTTTCCTTCATGCCGCACAACACTAAACCTCAACAGGTATCGCACAGCCACCAGCGTCTGCAACAACATGTAAGAGAAACATAAATGTTTTTTGAAAAAATGCACTTTTTAATCTAAGAAGCATTTTCATTTATTTTGACTTCTGAAACACCATATTGGACAAAAATACATTGTCAATGTTTGTAAAAAGAAATTGTATTTTTCATTCCAAAAACCAATCTGTGTTGATTTAGTGGAAACTTACAAGGTCTATGAGAGCAATTGTGGCTTACATTTTAAGAGGAAATTATATTTACACCTAAACAATACACCTAAACATCTTGAGCCACAGGAGATGTGTAAACCTAGGATTTTTCAAGCAGCGTTTCCAAACATGACCATTTTCTATTTGCTTTTAGAAAAAACCCGCGCCTCGGATCCTCCAACACCCCTTTCGCCCGTTGGCTTCCTGCTGAGTATGACGACGCCATCTCCCAACCGAAGGGCTGGGACATAACTCGAAGATTCAACAACTTCTTGCTCCCACTGGTACAACCTCAAATCGCAAACACTCACCTTGATTAATATACGTAAATGCAGATTTTAATTAAAACCAAGTTGTCCTCCACCTTCAGGTGCGACAGGTGTCCAACAACATCCTGAGCACAACAGATGCGGGCGTGGTCATCGACCGAGAATACACTCACATGGTGACCATGTTTGGTCAATGGAGCGCCCACGATCTCACCTTCACGCCATTTTCCCCCAGCATCCGCTCCTTCAGCAACGGCATCAACTGTGACGAGAGCTGTGAGAAAACCGAGCCATGCATACCCATCCCGGTTGGTGTGAATGCTCAAAAATAAATATATACATGTTGTTTTCACTTAAAAGCTTCCAACCATAACTCTTGGACTCTTTCCTACAATCAGATTCCTCCCGGCGACCCCCGCTTGCCCACCGGCCGAAACAGCTGCATCCCTGCGTTCAGATCGGCCCCTGTTTGCGGTTCAGGATACTCCGCCTACAATTTTGGCGGGGAACCTAAAAAGAGAGAGCAGATCAACGGGGTGACGGCCTTCCTGGATCTGGGCCAGGTATACGGCTCTGAGGAGCAGCTCGCCAAGTCTCTCCGAGATCCCGACAGTGACGGTGGTTTGCTGCGCGTTAACACCGAGTTCAGAGACAACAGACGTGAGCTGCTGCCCTTCCACCCTATGCAGGCGAATATGTGCGCCACTCGCAGGAGGGTCACCAACGACACCAACGCCAGAGAGGTGCCCTGTTTCATCGCAGGTAAGTCTCTTCCTGTCACTAATGGCTCTAAAGGCGACATTTTAATGGCTTAATAGCTATTATAAACTACACTGAACAAAAATATAAATGCAACACTTTTGTTTTTGCTCCCATTTTTCATGAGATGAACTCAAAGATCTAAAACATTTTCTATATACACAAAATAACCATTTCTCTCAAATATTGTTCACAAATCTGAAAAAATCTGTGATAGTGAGCACTTCCCCTTTGCCGAGATAATCCATCCCACCTCACAGGTGTGGCATATCAAGATGCTGATTAGACAGCATGATTATTGCACAGGTGTGCCTTAGGCTGGCCACAATAAAAGGCCACTCTGAAATGTTCAGTTTTATCACACAGCACAATGCCACAGATGTCGCAAGTTTTGAGGGAGCGTGCAATTGGCATGCTGACAGCAGGAATATCCACCAGAGCTGTTGCCCGTGAATTAAATGTTCATTTCTCTACCAAAAGCCGTCTCCAAAGGCGTTTCAGAGAATTTGGCAGTACATCCAACCGGCCTCACAACCGCAGACCACGTGTAACCACACCACACCAGCCCAGGACCTCCACATCCAGCATGTTCACCTCCAAGATCGTCTGAGACCAGCCACTCGGACAGCTGCTGCAACAATCGGTTTGCATAACCAAAGAATTTCTGCACAAACTGTCAGAAACCGTCTCAGGGAAGCTCATCTGCATGTTCGTCGTCCTCATCGGGGTCTCGACCTGACTCCGGTTCGTCGTCGTAACCGACTTGAGTGGGCAAATGCTCACATTCGATGGCGTCTGGCACGTTGGAGAGGTGTTCTCTTCACGGATGAATCCCAGTTTTTACTGTTCAGGGCAGATGGCAGACAGCGTGTGTGGCGTCGTGTGGGTGAGCGGTTTTCTGATGTCAATGTTGTGAATCGAGTGGCCCATGGTGATGGTGGGGTTATGGTATGGGCAGGCGTATGTTATGGACGACGAACACAGGTGCATTTTATTGATGGCATTGTGAATGCACAGAGATACCGTGACGAGATCCTGAGGCCCATTGTTGTGCCATTCATCCACGACCATCACCTGATGTTGCAGCATGATAATGCACGGCCCCATGTTGCAAGGATCTGTACACAATTCCTGGAGGCTGAAAACATCCCAGTTCTTGCATGGCCAGCATACTCACCAGACATGTCACCCATTGAGCATGTTTGGGATGCTCTGGATCGGCGTATACGACAGCGTGTTCCAGTTCCTGCCAATATCCAGCAACTTCGCACAGCCATTGAAGAGGAGTGGACCAACATTCCACAGGCCACAATCAACAACCTGATCAACTCTATGCGAAGGAGATGTGTTGCACTGCATGAGGCAAATGGTGGTCACACCAGATACTGACTGGTTTTCGGACCCCCCCAGACCCCCCCAGACCCCCCCAATAAAGCAAAACTGCACGTTTCAGAGTGGCCTTTTATTGTGGCCAGCCTAAGGCACACCTGTGCAATAATCATGCTGTCTAATCAGCATCTTGATATGCCACACCTGTGAGGTGGGATGGATTATCTCGGCAAAGGAGAAGTGCTCACTATCAGAGATTTTTTCAGATTTGTGAACAATATTTGAGAGAAATTGTTATTTTGTGTATATAGAAAATGTCTTAGATCTTTGAGTTCATCTCATGAAAAATGGGAGCAAAAACAAAAGTGTTGCATTTATATTTTTGTTCAGTGTATATGTCATTAACATGTCATATAAATTCTTTTTTCGATACTTATATTGTAATGCAGATGTGTGTCTTATCTTGTAATTAAGTGTCCATATAAGTAAGTATATATAAATATACTGTATAACTTATAAGTATCTTGAAGACTTAAACAATTAAATATTCACTACAACAATGCATCATGTGTGCATTTAAATAATTTCTAGTATTAAAGAAAAAGAACATAGTGTCACAGTAGAGTGAAGGAAGCAGGACCCAAATGCAGATTAAACTGATAATACCTTTATTTCAAGGATAATGAAATAGAACTTGGACAGACAGAACACTCACCGGTGAACACAGTCAACAACAAAAGACGAACCGACAAAGACAGACAGAAAAACCAGAACTCAAATACACACAAGACTAATCACACAAACAAGACACAGGTAAGGAGGGAGGAGAAAACACAGGGGCCACAGGTGAACACAATCGGGTAATCAGACACACCAGGGAAACTAACGACAGGGAACCACAGACAGATCCAAACAAGACAAAACACAACGCAGACAGAAAACCAAAAACAGATCTAGACAAGACAAAACACCACAAAGACAGATCGTGACAGTACACCCCCTCAAGGGACGGATCCCAGACGTCCCAAAACAGGCCGGGCTCGAGGACGAGGCAGCGGCAGGAAGAGTCAGGGGGGCCGGGCTCACGGGCGAAGACCACGGCTCACAGAGGGCCGGGATCGAGGGCGAAGACCGCGGCTCTCAGGGGGCCGGGCTCAAGGGCGAAGACCACGTCTCACAGAGGGCCGGGATCGAGGGCAGAGACCGCGGCTCTCAGGGGGCCGGGCTCGAGGGCGAAGACCACGGCTCACAGAGGGCCGGGATCGAGGGCGAAGACCGCGGCTCTCAGGGGGCCGGGCTCGAGGGCGAAGACCAGAGAGCTCCGGAGGCCGGGCAGGAAGGCGCTGACGGGCCAGCGCCGGAGGCCGGGCAGGACCCGGTGTCGGCCGGACAGGAACCGGAGCTGGTGGGACAGGCCTCGGCAGGATCCCCCACGGAAGAGGACCAGGACACGGGATTGGCAGGACCCCCGGCGAGACAGAGGATGGCGGGGCCTCCAACGGGACAGGACAAAGGGTTGGCAGGACCCCCGGCAGGAGAGTAGACGGCGGGACCTCCAACGGGATAGGACATAGGGTTGGCAGGACCCCCGGCAGGAGAGTAGTCGGCGGGGCCTCCAACGAGACAGGACAAGGAGCTGGCAGGACCCCCGGCAGGAGAGTAGACGGCGGGACCTCCAACGGGACAGGACAAGGAGTTGGCAGGACCCCCGGCAGGAGAGTAGACGGCGGGACCTCCAACGGGACAGGACAAGGGGTTGGCAGGACCCCCGGCAGGAGAGTAGTCGGCGGGACCCCCAACGGGACAGGACATAGGGTTGGCAGGACCCCCGGCAGGAGAGTAGACGGCGGGACCTCCAACGGGACAGGACAAAGGGTTGGCAGGACCCCCGGCAGGAGAGTAGTCGGCGGGAGCACTAACGGCACAGGACAAAGGGTTGGCAGGACCCCCGGCAGGAGAGTAGTTGGCGGGACCTCCAACGAGACAGGACAAGGAGCTGGCAGGACCCCCGGCAGGAGAGTAGACGGCGGGACCTCCAACGAGACAGACATACGATTGGTAGGACCCCCGGCAGAGGAGTAGTCGACGGGACCTCCAACGGGACAGGACATGGAGTTGGCAGGACCCCCAGCGGAACCTCCAACGGACCAGGACATTGGGTAGGGACTTTAGACTGTGACTCGAGAGGGGACTCGAGAGGAGAACCAAGGGGGAACTCGAGAGGGGAACTAGAGAGGGGACTCGAGAGGGGACTAGAGAAGGGAACTTGCGAGGGGAACTAGAGGAGGGACTAAAGAGGGGACTAAAGGAGGGGACTAAAGGAGGGACTAAAGGAGGGAACTCGAGAGGGGACTCGAGAGGGGACTCGGGTAGGAACTTGAGAGGTGACTAGAGAGGGGACTCGAGAAGGCACTCGAGAGGGGACCTGAGAGGGAACTGGAGAGGGAACTGGAGAGGGAACTGGAGAGGAGACTCGAGAGGAGACTGGAGAGGGGACTGGAGAGGGGACTCGAGAGGGAACTGGAGAGGGAACTGGAGAGGGGACTCGAAAGGGGACTCGAGAGGGGACTCGAGAGGGGACCCGAGAGGGAACTCGAGAGGGGACTCGGGTAGGAACTGGAGAGGGGACTCGGGTAGGAACTTGAGAGGGGACTTGAGAGGGGACTTGTGTCGGTCGGTACGCCGACAGGACATGGGGAGCTGGCGTCGTCTGGGGAGCCAGCAGGAGACGAGGTGCTGGAGTCGGCCGGTACGCCGACAAGACTCGGGGAGCTGGCGTCGGCTGGGGAGCCAGCAGGAGACGAGGTGCTGGAGTCGGCCGGTACGCCGACAAGACTCGGGGAGCTGGTGTTGGCTGAAGAGCCAACAGGAGACGAGGTGCTGGAGTCGGCCGGTATGCCGACAAGACTCGGGGAGCTGGCGTCGGCTGGGGAGCCAGCAGGAGACGAGGTGCTGGAGTCGGGACCATGACTGCTGGAGCCGGTACTTGAGCCGGAACCATGGCTGGAACTGGGGCCGGAACCATGGCTGTATGGGCCAGCTCTGGTGCAGGGACCACGGTTGTAAGATCCAGTTCTGGAGCCTGAAACATGGCTGTAAGGTCCGGAGCTGAAGCCTGGATCATGGCTGTGTGGGCCGGTTTTGGAGCCGGAAACATGGCTGCTGGGGCCGGCACTGGAGCCGGATCCATGGCTGCTGGGCAAGGAACCGGAACACGGATCCATGGCTGTGTGGGGTGGTACTGGAGCACGGAACCATGGCTGCTGGGTCCGGCACTGGAGCCGGAACCATGGCTGCTGGGGCTCGGGCTGCTAGCCTGGCCTTGCGACGACTCCTCTTAGCAGCCTCCTGAATACTCCGTGGACCTCCATAAGCCTGACGAGTTCCGGAATACGACTCCTGGACAGGAGCAGGAACTGGGGCAGAAGCACGGGTTGACTTCAGGCGGAACCCACCAAGGCGTATGGTGCCAGGTTGGGAATTGGGAGACAGGGAGCTAGCATGCCTGGAATCACATGCTTGAAGGAAGTCTAAATCCAGTCAGGTAAAAACTCAACAAAACATGGTTTCTCTGCTGCCAACCGGAGCGCCTCTACCAGAGCGGCCCTCTTCTGCCGAACACTGGACGCTCCCTTCCACCAATCAAAGCAGCAAGCCAGATAGAAAGTTAAATGCTGTAATTCAACCTCCCATGGATCATCTGCTGGGTCCATTTTGTGGTCGGTTCGTTCTGTCACGGTAGAGCGAAGGAAGCAGGACCCAAATGCAGATTAAACTGATAATACCTTTATTTCAAGGATAATGAAATAGAACTTGGACAGACAGAACACTCACCGGTGAACACAGTCAACAACAAAAGACGAACCGACAAAGACCGACAGAAAAACCAGAACTCAAATACATACAAGACTAATCACACAAACAAGACACAGGTGAGGAGGGAGGAGAAAACACAGGGGCCACAGGTGAACACAATCGGGCAATCAGACACACCAGGCAAACTAACGACAGGGAACCACAGACAGATCCAAAAAAGACAAAACACAACGCAGACAGAAAACCAAAAACAGATCTAGACAAGACAAAACACCACAAAGACAGATCGTGACACATAGGCAAAGCAAGGCAAGGCAAGGCAAGTTTATTTATATAGCACTTTTCAACACAAGGCAATTCAAAGTGCTTTACAAAAAATGAAAGAGATTAAGAAGATGGCATTTAAAATCAGTCATTAAAAAGAAAAGCTAATAAAATAAACATTAAAAGAAAAAATACATGGATAAAAGTTACAGTGCTGTCAATTAAACATTAAAAGAAAAAAGTACATGGATAAAAGTTACAGTGCAGTCTAAGATATGAATAGTTCAATTAAAAGCAGCGACAAAAAGAAAAGTCTTCAGCCTGGATTTAAAAGTAGTCAGAGTTGTAGCGGACCTGCAGGTTTCTGGGAGTTTGTTCCAGATATTTGGAGCATAATAACTGAACGCTGCTTTACCATGTTTAGTTCTGACTCTGGGGACAGAAAGCTGACCAGTCCCTGAAGACCTGAGAGATCTGGATGGTTCATAATTTAGCAGGAGGTCAGAAATGTATTTTGGGCCTAAACCATTCAGTGCTTTATAAACCAGCAGCAGTATTTTGAAATCTATTCTTTGACACACAGGAAGCCAGTGTAAAGACTTCAGAACTGGAGTGATGTGATCCACTTTGTTAGTGTTAGTGAGGACTCGAGCAGCAGCGTTCTGAATTAGCTGCAGCTTCCTAATAGATTTTTTAGTGAGACCTGTGAAGACACCATTGCAGTAGTCGAGTCTACTGAAGATAACATAGATTGTTTTCACTATATTAAAGATATAATAACTGAGTTAAGAAAAATAGAAAGTAATTTATAGTAGAGGTAAATAAGCAAATGTTCCCTTTTTTAACCTCTTCATGCCTATGTGTGAAACTATTAGGACATGATGAATCATTTATAAAGCCAATATTTTTAAAGGACATACACTCCTCTGATCAACTATCTAATGGGTACATTTCTGTCTGTAAGGTGACGTCCGCGTTGACGAGAACATCGCTCTCACATCTATTCACACTCTGTTCATGCGTGAGCACAACCGCCTGGCCCGGCAGCTGAAGAGAATAAACCCGCAGTGGGACAGCGAGACGCTCTACCAGGAGGCCCGCAAAATCATGGGGGCTTACACACAGGTAGCAAAACCTGAGGGTCATTCATGATTATATATTCCTATCTTTACAACAAAATGTTTTACTGAAGATCGACCTCTGTCTCTCCCAGTTGTTTGTGTTCAGGGACTATCTGCCTCACATTGTGGGTCCTGAAGCAATGCATAGACAGCTTGGCCGTTACCCCGGCTACAATGCTAACGTGGACCCCGGCATCGCCAACGTCTTCGCTACAGCAGCTTTCCGCTTCGCCCACTTGGCCATCCAGCCAGTCGTATTCCGTCTGGATGATAACTACAGGGAGAACTCCCGCTTACCCAGCGTGCCTTTGTACGAGGCCTTCTTCACCCCCTGGAGGGTCGTCTTCGAGGGTGAGTTTTACAGAGAACAGTGGAGTAACTTATCAAATAGAAATGCAACTATAAGTCAACCCTAACTTCTATTTAAATATCTCCAGGGGGCATTGACCCCCTGCTCCGTGGGCTGGTTGGACGTCCTGCTAAGCTGAACACTCAGGATAACATGATGGTGGACGCTCTGAGGGAGCGCTTGTTCCAGTTTGTGATGCATCTGGCTTCGGATCTTGGTTCTCTTAACATGCAGAGGGGGCGTGACCACGGCTTGCCTGGTACATCCCTCACTTTGAATATCATCCTTCTCTGATGTTTCTTTCTTTCTTATTGTCCTCATCCACTATTTGCTTACCCGATGTTTTCTCCTCTAGGCTACAACGCCTGGCGCAAGTTATGTGGCCTGTCTCAGCCAGGGAACCAGGCAGAGCTCGCTCAGGTTTTGAACAACGCCGACCTGGCCCGTAAGCTGCTGCAGCTCTATGAGACCCCCGCCAACATCGACGTCTGGATGGGAGGCGTGGCGGAGCCGTTTGTCCGTGGCGGCCGCGTGGGGCCTCTGTTTGCCTGCCTCATCGCATCACAGTTCCAGAGGATCCGCCAGGGGGACAGGTCAGTGTCCATGTAACATGTGAATCACATTTAGTTCTGATTTCTAACAATCTACATGTATAGTGTCACAGGTTACAGTATTTTAGTTTTGTTGATGAACTGTTAAATTGTACATGTACTTACATTCTTTGCTATGTTGAGCATTAGATTTTTTCGAAATGTATACATGTAAAAAAAATGTGTCTGACATAATAAATTGTGTTATATATTTATACATTTTATATTAAATGTCAGATGCACAATCATGAAAATAAATGCTTTACAAACAAATGATCTGCTGACCGTAGTCTGTTGTTTGATATCATCAGGCTGTGGTACGAGAACCAGGGCGTGTTCTCCCCGGCTCAGAGAGCGGCTCTGTCCACCTCCACCATATCCAGGATCATCTGCGACAACACCGGCATCTCGTCTATCCCTACCGACGCCTTCAGCGTCATCTCAAATTATAACAGACTCATCTACTGCTCCAGCATCCGACGCAGGCTGAACCTGTCCGCCTGGAGCAGGCAATTTGGATGGTGATGGGGTCCACATAATTTATGTAGCCTACTGGTCACCAGGGGGCCGCAAATTCACTTGGAACATACACAAATTAGTAGTAGTGGCAGCTCAAGTTGCTTACTTTCATTACAGCAACGGTCTGCAAACATACTAAACATTGTGGTTTATCCCTGAATTCAGTGAAAAGATTGTCTTTCTCCCACTTATCTTGATTTTCCTCAGATACCTTTCTCTTGCTCATGCTGACATCCACAGAGGGCTGTGCTCATATGTGACCCGCTCTATCGGAAGTCGCAACGGCTCATTTAAAAATAAAAGTGGATTTGTGTAAAAAAATAGTTTTTCTGGGTTCGGGTGTTTTGTTTGATTTTAAATAAACAAAGTCTTGGCTTTCAGAATATGAAACTTTTATTGCCAACATTAAACGATAAATACATTTATGAAGCTTGTAAAGGGAAGATGGCAGGCACCTCTCACTCGCATTCTGCTCTTCCGCAGCGCCACCCCCTCCCTCCCGCTGAAATTATGAATGCAAGGCATAGTAATCATAGATAACATGGCAGGGTCCGTTACAGTTTGTTTTCTACTGATTTCAAATAAACAAAGTCTTGGCTTTTAGAATATTAAACTCGTTTCGCCAAATTCAGATGATAAATACAACTTTGAAGCTTGTAACGGCATAATTACATGCGGAGAACGGAGTAACTTATCACAGCAGGCATAACAACACTCATAACAAATTACTCACAAAGCCCTCAACAATCAGCCCCCCCTACACTGAAAAAAAAAGCCGTTGGATTAACATGATTTTAATATGGAAACCGGTTGCACACATGGAAAACATGTGTACTCAAAACTATTCTACGGTGGCCCTGAAGTGCAAGACACCACAGCATTTCACAAAACACAACAGCATTTCAGAAAACACTACAGCATTTCACAAAACGCCGCAGCATTTCACAAAACGCCGCAGCATTTCACAAAACACCACAGCATTTCACATTGGACGGAAAGGGTATTCCTTAGGGAGAACACTTCTTGTTTGTGATTGGACAGAGCCAGCCAGAGAAGCACTGCTGTGATTGGTTGTTTTTTCTGCCAGTCAAGAAATGACGCTTCGTGATTGGCCCAACACATCAGCCGTTAGCTGTTAGCACACCTGTAGCTGCTCCGTCCACACTCACAACAACGTCATACAGACATAAATAAAGCAGCGACTGTATTCGCCATGACATAGACAGTCTGTGGTTTGTACATGTTTAACTTTTGTCCAGTTTCTGAACAGATATGAGGAGCTGTGAGCTCTGAGTTTGTGCTAACGGCTATTGTGTTGGGACATATTGTGCTGTCGGGCGTTGACCAATCGCGAAGCGTCATTTCTTGACTGGCAGCAAAAACAAGATCACAGTAGTGCTTCTCTGGCTGGCTCTGTGCAATCACAAACAAGAAGGGTTCTCCCTAAAGGAATACCCTTTCCGTCCAATGTGAAATGATGTGGTGTTTTCTAATGCTGTTGTGTTTTGTGAAATGCTGCTGCGTTTTGTGAAATGCTGTGGCATTTTGTGAAATGTTGTTGTGTTTTGTGAAATGCTGCTGCGTTTTGTGAAATGCTGTGGCGTTTTGTGAAATGTTGTTGTGTTTTGTGAAATGCTGCGGTGTTTTGTGAAATGCTGTAGTGTTTTGTGAAATGCTGTAGTGTTTTGTGAAATGCTGTAGTGTTTTCTGAAATGCTGCGGTGTTTTGTGAAATGCTGTAGTTTTTTGTAATGTGTAGTGTTTTGAAATGCTGCGGTGTTTGTGAATGCTGCGGTGTTTTGTGAAATGCTGTAGTGTTTTCTGAAATGCTGTAGTGTTTTCTGAAATGCTGTAGTGTTTTCTGAAATGCTGTTGTGTTTTGTGAAATGCTGTTGTGTTTTGTGAAATGCTGTAGTGTTTTCTGAAATGCTGTTGTGTTTTGTGAAATTCTGTTGTGTTTTGTGAAATGCTGTGGTGTTTTCTGAAATGCTGTGGTGTCTTGCACTTCAGGGCCACCGTACTATTCCATTATGTTAAAGACACACAACTATGTTATGTCAAAGAAACATGAAATTGTTATGTTCATTTGAATATTTCCTTTAATATAGGTATATTCATTTACCCTATACCAACATTTCTTTTTTATGTTCATTTTAGGCTTTTAATATGCTCAGTATATTTAACTTGTACCTGTTAAAGCAACATGATGTCTTTATTTAAGCTTCACTGTAAAAAGTCTGTTGGACTTAAGTAATAAAAAAACATGGAGATCGGTTGCACATATTAAAAACATGTGTACTCAAAACTATTCCATTATGTTAGAGACACACAACTATGTTATGTCAAAGAAACATGAAATTGTTATGTTAATGTGAACATTTCCTTTAATATAGGTATATTCATTTACCCTATGTTTAACCAACATGACTTTTTATGTTCATTTTAGGCTTTTAATATACTCAGTATATTTCTGTACAGAGCCACATGAATGTTTTGTTTAAACTACATGCTATAGTTTTCTGTTTAATCTACCTAGTGCTCAAGGGGTACATAAGATTATTTATTTCATGTGAATAGAGGCATTTCGTACATTCGTGTGCAACTGGATGTCCGTTGTGGGGACGGATTTTGCGCAGCTGCTGTTGTCGCTGGGTGCGGCTGGTTGTTTTGGGAGTAGCGTTGCGGGGGTGAGTGTTTTGCAGTTATAGTACACGGAGAGTGTATGGCAGCAAGTACGAGCACAGATCATTAGTTACCGTGGTATCTATCCCTGTTAGGTCTAGTACGGTCTTCCTTGGAGGTAGTATTCGTGTATTAGTCCCCAAGGGGAAAATGGGTTGCAGCACATCACAGAGGCATTTAAAAAAGTTAAGACAATACATCACTGACAACAACATAGACACAGATAAAAACAAACAGACATAAGAAAACCAGATATCGGCAGACATGACAAGGGGCCTATAGGCCCTCATTTGCAAAATAGGGGGGACAGGGCCAGACCAGCTGGGTAAACAGTGCGTCCTAGCCATCATTTGTTCAGGAGTTTGATGGCTTGTGGGACGAAAGACAGCCTAGATCTGTTCTTTTTTAAGTAAGGGGCACGATATCTCCGCCCGGATGGCAACAATTCAAAGTAAGAGGCAAGAGGGTGCCTCAGGTCACTCACAATATTGTGTGCCAGTTTTAAAACTCTGTCCTTATATAAGCATTCTATATTAGCAAATGAGATTCCTGTCAATTTACTGGACAAAGTTATGGCCCTCCTGACTGACTTTTTCTGTGCCTCAGTTGCGTTGCCGAACCAGCATATAATGCCGAAGGAGAGCACACTTTCGATAAAAGCATGATAAAACATCTTCACCATTCTGTTGCCGACATTAAAAGACAATAATTTACGTAAAAAAAACATTCTTTGTTGAGACTTAGCATTTATTTTCTCAGACCAAACATCCCATCTGAGCTTGTGGTCAAGCACGACACCAAGATACTTGTACTCAGTGACACATTGAATGGGCTCACTATTTAATAAAAGAGTAGGATTGGGCGATTGTGCTATTCTAAAATCAATTTCCATCTCCTTTGTTTTTGAGGTGTTTAGAAGCAGGTTTGACTTCTCACACCAGTTAATAAAGAAGTCAAGGACAGGCCCATGCTCCTCTTCCTCATCAAAGAGGAGGCTGACCAGGGCCGTATCATCTGCATACTTAATAAAGTGCCTATTGGGAAAAGTGCTGATGCAGGAGTTGGTGTATAAAATAAACAAAAGAGGATAAGACACATCCCTGGGGTGAGCCTATCCAGGTAGTTATTGTGTCAGAAAGTGCCATGCCTATTTTGACCTGCTGAGTTCTACAGCTGAGGAAGTCAACGATCCAGGAGATCAGACCAGGTTCAAGTGAGAATTCTTCAGTTAAAATATTTGATAAAATACTTGGCTTAATGGTGTTAAAAGCTGATGAGAAGTCGGCAAATAGAATCTTTACATGGGCTTTTGGCGTCTCGAGGTGAGTGTGCAGAAGATGCAAGAGAGTTGCGATAGCATCTTCCACCCCTCTAGAGGCCTGATATGCAAACTGCATGGGATCTAAGAGGTGCTGCGTTTGTGAGATTAGATGCCTCTTAACTAAACGCTCAAAACATTTCATTACCAGTGAGGTGAGTGCTATAGGCCGAAAGTCATTGGGCTCACTGGCCCTGGAGATTTTAGGCACTGGAATAATTGTGGATGTTTTCCAAAGAGAAGGGACTTTTTGCAGATTAAGGGAGGACCTAAAAATGTCTGTAAATACAGGTGCAAGTTGTTCTGCACAGTGTTTTAAAACAGCTCCTTCAATATTATCGGGGCCAGGGCTTTTTCGTATATTACACTTCCTGAAGAGATGGATGACTTCTGACTCCTCTATAGTCATACTAGAGGGGAGGGGGGAAGGATGGCCACTGATCAAGACAGGAGACGGTTTTCCCCTGCCCTTATGTGGAGCATTCGTCATGTTTTTAATTCCCTGCCATGCTTCTCTGGGATTACCAGAGGCCAGAGCTGCCTCCAGCTTCTCCTTATAGCTATATTTGTCTAACTGTATTTGTCTTTTAATATCTCTCTGTATGTTTCTCCTAGTAAACTCATCCTGGTTTTTATAAGCTTTTTTCTTCAGAATAATCAGCTTCTTTAAACTGTGAGACACCCAGGGCTTGTCATTCGAATATATTTTTGAAAGACTTAGTGGGTGTTATGGAAATCTAAAAACCCCAATACTGTAGAGTACAAGTCAGAAAACAAATAAATGGTGAAACAGACAGAGTTGTCTTTCCGGTGATGTTTATTCGAATAAACATCAGATACAATAAAATATAGACACAGGTCTCACAGAGTATAGGATAGTCTGCGCGAGTGTGCGCAGTTCAATATTATAGCGAAGCTTATATAGTAGAAATGATGAGAAGGTAAGAAATCTGTCTTCACACGGTCACATTGTTATTAGACACCTGGCCTTGAGCTGTAGAAGTTCTCGTGTGACTTTGTGTGAGTCTCAACCTAGTAGCCAAAACAGC